GAAAAAAAAAAAAAAAAAAAAAAATCTGAGTAATGTTCTTGTACATAGTAGATTAGAACTCCCTGAAACAATCGCTTTGCATTATTTGTGTACCTTGTATATCTCTCAATTATTTCATTGATGTAGGCTATTCCAATGTTGAAATCCACATTCCCTACTTGAGACCTAGGCCAGTGCTTCTATAAGAGAGTTTCTCTTCTAAAACCTTATTCTATTTTTATCTATGATGATAACACGAACACAATTATATGGATAACAATTACTTTAATAAATAACTTGCGACGTTTCGACGATGATTCTTTCGTCTTTATCAAGCAATGATACAAAATAACAAGGCATTCAGGATATATAGTGTGGGGCAACAATGACAAGGATTAAAACAATAGGAATACATTAATCAATTATGTAGGGGTAATCACAAGGGTGTGTGATTAGAGAAACCATTAAAGGGATGTAGTAAATTACATTATAATGGTGGGGTGGTGGTGATTATAATCGTACAATGTGATGATAGATAAAACATTGCTCCTGCAATGAAGAATATGTTGGAGAAACAAGACGCCCTCTCAATCTCAGAACGCAAGAACACCTATCCCTAGCACCTACCCAAACATCCGCAGTTTCTGAACACATCAAAAACAACCGACGACACAAAATTGGCAATATCGAAGCCCTTACTAAACACCAAACCAACAAGAAAATGAGACAATTGACCGAAGCTTTTCACATAAGGAGATACAAACCGCAACTCAACAGAGATACAGGTGTTTATTTATCACATGCCTATGACCCTTTAATTAAATAACCCCACCCCAAATTTTGTATTTAGATTGTCACCGGCATCTTACTAGTCAAGTTTTTTATGTTTTATTTATCATCACATTGTACGATTATAATCACCACCACCCCACCATTATAATCAAGATGTAATTTACTACATCCCTTTAATGGTTTCTCTAATCACACACCCTTGTGATTACCCCTACATAATTGATTAATGTATTCCTATTGTTTTAATCCTTGTCATTGTTGCCCCACACTATATATCCTGAATGCCTTGTTATTTTGTACCATTGCTTGATAAAGACGAAAGAATCATCGTCGAAACGTCGCAAGTTATTTATTAAAGTAATTGTTATCCATATAATTGTGTTCGTGTTAATATCATCAATTACTAAATGCCACTCAATGAAGATATCTATGATGATCTAGTTTCATCCTAAATACATTCATATTGTAGTTTTGTATCATTTATATAGTATTTAACTGGATTTCTAATAAAGATTTTATCATTATACATCACTTTTATCACTTATGATTGATATTCGGCCAAATATTTCGGGGTTTGTTTTACGGTTAGGATGAGTATGTAATTACAATATTAAAGGTAGGACCAGTTGCTATTTGCATTTTTATGCAATTTGACCAAATACCGCAATCTCTCTAAAATGCAAAGCTTTACTGGATCTCGGATTGATTGAATAATGGATTATTGAATATAATTCAGAGAAACTGGTTAGTTACATGATATATTATAAGCGTCAAGTGCAGTATCTTTGTAACATAGTGTTGTTCCGTTAAATAACATTATCCGGTGTAACTCAACTCGAAACCAATGATTCTATCAATGCTTGCTAAAATGTAACACAAACTTTAAAAAAAAAGATATAATTACGTAACCTTAATAATGATTGCTATTGTAATTTTTGTTCTGTCGTCTTTGCTCATTCAACAAGATAAGCTATACATAGAATTTTTCGAATTTTTGCAACAATATCATGGAAAAGTTTTTTTTTGGTACGATTTTACACGTATTAACGACCACCCGTGATATACTGAAATTTTATGGGCTTATCTTGCTGGGCAACCACTTTTTCGAAATGATATTTGAAAATTACTGTTTTTGACCGCTTGTAAAACCGGTAGTAGATGTCATACATCAAAGATTATGATTAAGATTATTGAACTTTGCGCTCATTACTGCTCTAACATGATCATTAAATGGCGCTTTAAAAACACAGATAAAGCTTCATTATGGTCAATGTCTATGAACAAACACACACATCGTAAAGGTTCTTCTAAAAAAGAGCTTTCTCTTAATAGCATCAACAGATTTACAGCCGTAGCCCTACTACACTAAATGACCTATCCGCAATTGTTTTATATTTTGTTGTTGACTAAGGTTTATAGACACGTAGTAGATCTTGTACAATACAGATTGATATCTAAAGATAAGAGATCTGGTAGATATTTTGGAGCAAAATTAATAAGCATAAGCATTTGTACACTTGTACACCATCAGAAGAAGTTTGCACTCAAAGTATGAATGGTAATCCATGCTAAAAAGTCAAAAATAAATATTTAGTAAATTATAAAACCTATTCCTTTTTGAAAGTAAAAAGCCAAAAATGACCAATTTGGCAGAACTTATGATATATTTTTATGCTTCATTCTATGGCTGACAAATGCATAATTTGCGAGTTATGACAAATTGCAATTATATAAAGTAAATGTGACTCTAACCCAAATGTGCCACGCCCGTCCCCTAAATTTTTAAAGGTTCTGTTATGTGAACAATATGAATTAGAACTGTGGACGTACGGGAAACTTTTGAAAGCCTGTTTGCTTTTAACTCAGGTGCTTTTAACCAGAAATTAAAACTTTCGGGTATGTGATAAATAAATCAAGTATATATAATACTCCAGAAATGTCACCTCAATATTCTCAATTTGCAAAAAATAATAGAACTAATTTTTACCGCATCACGCTAAACCTCTAAATTCTTCAATTGACTAAAAATAAAAAAACACGTAGATAATCAGACTTAGTCTGAGAGGAATTTGACCATATGAGTTCTCCTATCAAATATTGTCGATGAGTTAACATCTGTTGACGAATTCTCCGAAAAAATGTTGTCGACGAGTTTACATTCTGACTGGTATTCGTATATACTAGACGGAAAATCTTTAAATATTTCATTAAAATCCATTAAATTGACGTACAGAGGGGTCTTAGAATGCAAAAGAGTGTATTGTTACAATCTTGTGATAGGGTCCCCACCAACCTAGACGAGCCACTGACAGTCTTTTTAAGAAACGGTTTGCAAATTTTGATGGGAAAGTGTACTCTACAAGTTATACCCTCTGCTAATTTAGGTTCATAGGGCTGAGTGCACATAGAAGTATACGCTATACGTTATACTTCAGAATGCGACAAGTGCTTGGGGAGTTTCACAGAACGTTTCAGAACCCGATAGATCATTCTGATGAGAAGATTTTTTTCAACTACATGCGGATGTTAACACATCAAATGAACAGATTCCGTTCATGATTGTCGGTGATGAAGCGTTTCCCCTGAAAACTTACTTGATGCGCCCTTTTGCAGCCCGTACCATGAATGAGGACAGACTTATTTATAACTATAGACATTGCAGAGCCAGGCGTTCGGTCGAATGCACTTTTGGCATTTTTGTAAAAAAATTTGAAGTTTTCCAACGCCCGATGCGCCTTCTACTGGACAAACCAATTGTAATTACAAATGCAGCCACGGTTCTTCACAACTATATCCGAAGACGGGATGGGCACTTGATAGATCGCACATCATCTGTCAAGTGTGAATCATTTTATAATCCAGGAGATGGTTTTATCCATCTGCAACCGCTTCATGGTACTAGGTTTGTTGAAGATGCAGTTGGACTGAGAGAGGCTGTCAAAGACTTTTTCTGTGACCCGTAGGGGAGTGGGGAATGGCAACATCAGCATGTTTTCAGAAATGTCCTTTCCCACGACCAAGTTGATTAATAAAAATTGAAAATTTACCTTTCTTGGGTGAATTTATTTCACTTGTTTCCTTGTTTTTGTAATCATCATTTTCTGGATCCCACAACAGGGGCATCTGTCTTACTTTTTCAATGACTGTGTATTTGTAATCTTCCATCGTTGCCTACCTGTCAAACAGAATTTCTTGGTTGATAGTACAGTGCAGTACAATGTATAACATGTACATATGAAGGTATGAGCTATGAAATTGCAATTAAAATGACACCGGTTTTCTAATTTACCAAAAGATTATAAATGGGCAAATATCAAAAGCTTGTATTTACAAATTGCAGTTGCCACATTCGCAAGTGGCTGTATACACTGCTTGAAAATCGAACAAGCACGATTCTCACTATACTACACTATACCCTACTATACGCAGGCATACTTCGTTTTCGATTAGTGTCCTCTTACGTGACCAGGTATTATGAAATTACCTTGTTCGATTTTAGGTATACGTGCAAAACGTGCACCGTATACCCAAAAAGTATACTTCTATGGGAACTCAGCATAAGAGATACTCTCCTGTTGAAACACGTGCATATTTCACAAGTATTAGACATTATTATTCCCCTTTATTCAGATAGAAAAAAACATTAAAGAGGTATTTTTTTAAATCTGAACGCCAAACTTTTACAAAAATTTATTAGGGTTAAGAGATTTCATAATTATATGTCATAATCTGTGGCCATACTGATAACCTCTGTGTTGTTGGACCATGACTAGAGTGAAAGGGTCAAATCAACTGTTATAATATCATCCCTGTCTTTATCACTTACCTGTCAATCAAATTAATCCTTTCAATTGAAAAAATATTGTTTGTTTTAATTTTTTTCTAAAATTACCAATTTAATGATTTCAGATATTGTTTTTAAGCCATTCGTGTCACATATCATTTAAAGGAGAAAACTGTGTACATTCTGACATGGCGATTATGGAATCAGCACTGATATGGGATAATAACAGATGAAGTTAGGATTTGAGTCGTAAGAATTTCAATAATTTAAAGAATATATTTATGCATCTTTGTTGTATATTTGGCAAGATGACTAATTCTACATTAGGGAGGTTGCATCGAATTGTTCGTGCGCATCTGATTTCGCATGTGTGTCGCGAGATTTATCACACAGTGGGTGTCCCCATATTCGCGTCTGATTCTACATCCTCCGTAATGGCGGCCTAATGGGGAATGCTTTGACTCCTCGAAGGAAAGGAAATAGCCTCCTCGAAGGAAAGGAAAATTTACGAGGGAGTCGAAATTCAAAAGGTATTTAAATGTTTCTGAAGCGAATAAACCCAGTGACTAATTCATCGTCAGATTCGATCGGAATGCTAACTCCTTGAACGGACGTCAATAACAACCTGAGTTTGGCACTGTTGATGTTTCACCCCCTCCCTCTCCCGTAGAGCTATCGATGCGAAACTTGGTTTTGTTGATACATTGTCATATTTTAGAAAAATGCGACATTTAACAATTCATGAAGAAATTTTCTAGCCATTTCTAGTGAAATGTTTTTTTTTTATATCACTGACGGTGTATTAAAAATATAGATGTATTTTGTCGTCGCGAAAATGATTGTTGGGAAATGTAAAATTTCTGTATTTGATCTCAAGATCGAAGATGTTAATTTCAAGTTTAAATCTGAAACAATTAATAAAGGAATTTTAAGGGTAAAGGATCTTATGCACTTACATAGCAATTTCCGAATCATTAGTTATATATTTAGACTTAATGGTCTTAAACTCACCCAGGTATGCATACTGCGGATATGCATTATCATATAATAACACACTTGTATATTACGAAATCCCCCTCTCAGGGATACATTTATCAATTTAAAATAATTCATAATAAAAATTGAATTAACAACAATTATTTTCACATTTCTGTTATGCCTAAATGCTAAGTCTTATTAGGTATTAGTAACGGCATTGGTTACTCAATAACACGACGTTCTTTCGCAGTTTTAATTTCCTTCAAATTCATATTGTGGTTTTTGATATCGCAGTGAAGAAGCCTTTTCTTTCTATTAAAAAAACTCAGAGAATTAAAATGTTGGTGATATTATTGAAGTTACTAATGTTATTGAATACATGTAAAACTTGTGAAATTACTACGAAAATGTTCAAATCTTATACAAAAGATAAACTTTTATCGGGGTATTACCAGACAACTACGGCTGCTGACCAACTATCATGTACAAGTTCTTGTTTTTTCAATGAAAGATGTGTTGGATTGGCTTATCATGAATTGCGAAAAATGTGTTACTTATATGACAAAATTCCATTTTGTTATAATTCTTCAGTTGATGTTGGTGTAAATACGTTTTTTCTAGAAGGTAAGTTAAGCTGGGGGTTTCAAGAATATCAAAGTAGAAAACGAGTTGTTTTCGAACCTAAACAAGGTGAAGCATCTCATCAAATAGAAATGCTAATTCACCAATGAATGAATGGATCGATTATATTCAACTAATCACATTCTTGTTGTTTTTATTTTCAGACACATTTATTAAAAATATTGCTTTGAATAAACCCAGTAATATCAGCAGTACGTATTATGGAATACCCTGTTCTTGTTGTGCTGTTGATGGTATCCTCACAAGTCAAATCAACACCAAAAATTCTAAATTAGAATGGTGGTGTGTTGATCTCGAGCAAGTATTCAATTTATATTACATCGAGATATATAACGCTTATTCACAATATCCTAGTAAGTATCAGAAAATACAGTTTTCAATATTTCGCCACTGTCAATTCACATCCTGAAAACTTATCTTACATCTTGATAACAATAGTGGGGCTTTTTAAAAGGAATCGTGAAAATGAAGGTACAAGCAATAAAACTTAGCTGTTCTCTAAATAATTTTGATCAAATCTGCACGATTGGCTAATTCAAAATACGAGATGGCGTTTTTTTTTCAAGATGGCTGCTAAAAATGTGTAGATGTCCCATTGGCTTGAAGTAGGTCTAAATGTCTCTGTATTTCCTGTTTGATAAGCGCACGCCAATTCATAATTTTTCTCACTTAAAACATAGGTTAAGGAAGGAGTTTTGTAAGATGCGAGTTCATGGCCACAAACATGTTCATTAGCAACAGAAGTATATTATCAATATCCTGTGGATAATATCGTATCTATGCAAAAGGAACATGGGCCACAATATAAAACTGCGATGACTCACTTACTAAACTCGATAAGGGTAGCATCAGATCCTACAGTGAATATTGATTTGCAAATAGCTAACCAGAGGCTTTTGGAAAGATACACCCACTTCTTTCTTAATAATTTCAGAATATTGAGAGCTGTAACTAAGGAAATATATCTCTAATCCTACGCAAATTCAAACACGTTGATATAGGTCTACACAGAAAATCTGACAATGAATATAGGGCTTATTTCATTCACATGCCTATTTTAATTGTTTTAAGTTTATCGAGAACTGTAACTGGGAAAATATTTGTCAAATCATACCCCTGGTTCATACTTATCCAAGAAAATTTGAACATAATCTTAAATATTATTTTTATTTAATAATGATTATTATAACAACATCTTTCTAAAAACCGTGACATCCATTGCTTTCACAAGTCAATTGTAGACGGAAGGACGGACGAACTGACATACGTTCACCCAACAATTCTTCAAAGCTTATTTTATGGAGTTTCCTACCATCTCGCTATGAGGTGTGAAGTAATTTATCAGCAGTCTAAACTAAATCTATCAGACCAAGTATAGGTAAATACGGGTAAGCATCAGATCCTACAGACTAGTGCATATTGATTTCGTAATAATTTCAGTGTATCGAGAGGTGTAACTCAGGAAATACATCTCGAATATTATGCACATCGAACTCGTGTATAATCTTGTAAAACCAACATACAAAATATGACAAAAATGTATGCCTTATTTCATTCACAAGCCTATTTAAACATTTTAGATATATCAAGGACTATAACTGAGGAAATATTTATCGAATTCTACCCTGAGAAAATGTGAAATTACTCTCATACACAAAAATATAGACAATTTTTTACAAAAACGGTGACTTGCGTTCAAAAGCTAATGGCCACGTCAATATTCGCCCATATAAATACATTTTGCTACAATCTCGCTTAGAGTTGCGAATTAAGTTATCAGCAGACTTAATTAAATCTATCAGACCAAGTATAGGAACATTGTGAAAAATCTTATTCATTTTTCAGGTGTGATGGAAAGATTCAATGGTTTCCAGTTACGATTCAGTAATACCGGACAATGTGACTACGAGACGTTTCATGAAGCCAGACTGTGCTACAAAGACAACATACAATATGCACAGAAGACGTACAAAATAACATCATGCAATTATCAATCAGTTTTCTCTTCGAGATTTATATTTGTAAGTGTAAGACCAAATACGCACTTATCTATTAGGGAGTTTATAGCGGTATAGGTTTTCACCTTTAAACGAAAATTCATCTATCTAATTGCTTCATTTCAAATACGAGGTTTAGATTCTCAGTTACTAACCTTGGCGGAAACCTCTACAAATTAATTATTACCAGAAAAGTTAATTTTGAGTTGTTCTTGTTGCACCTTATGAAAGCAATATTTTCATAGTTAAGGCTAATTGAAGCAAACACCTGTCCTGCTTAAAAAAACAACAAGAAAAACCCTGGATAACTATATCAAAATGTGACAAGATACAACTTCTTCAATACTCACGTTATTACTGATCCCTAGTGTTATTATTGATCCCTAGTGTGTTACTGATCCCTCGTTTGATCTCTCTGCTAGAAAAATAATATCGGTGTCATGATTTATATTCCTGCTCTATTTGTTTCTCTGTGACTGAATGTGTGAACTTGATCTCTTATTTCTGTACAGTCCGTATTGCTTACTATGTGTAAATTGTACAATATCATCTTCGTTTCGGATTTCTTGATCTGAAAAATTAATGTCTTATTGGCCCATTTTTGTCCTAGGTCCTCTCGCACTCGATGTGCGGCACTGACAAGGATTTATTTCGAAACCAGTCAAAGTAGGGCAATATTGACTTTGCAGGTAAAAATTTATATAAATGAAGCATATGTGATTAATACCTTATATCGATAGACTCAAATATAAATACACGTGTGTACTTTCGTATTTTCGTGGGAGAGCATGCATACCAAGAAAAAAACCCTACAGGTCAGATCCCATGTGACAACCTCAAATAGCCCGAGGTTTTATATTTTAACCCGATTGATGGACGTCTTAAGCGAGGGATCTGATATTCTCCGGAGTTAATTTAAATTAATTATCTTATCATATTCGCAATAAAAATAAGCTTATATAGAAGTGTAAATTGTATATTATGGTTTATTTTGTGTATTGTGAAGTATATATATTGGTGACAATTAAAATATTAATTTTTTTTTAGCTCTTTAAATTAAATGGTAACGAACATCAGTATCCAGTCACTTCCTTAGCTATTCCCGGTGAGTCATGTTATTGCCAACGTCACAATGTCAAAGTATTACGTAGTATACCTTTTCAGTGTTTTCACATTTATTTCCAATATCTGCTTAAAATACATGGTAAGATACATCTGTTAAAAAAAAACAGGTCACATCAGTGGGTATTCCCTTTGAGTCCTGTTATTGCCATCTTCACAATGTCAAACTATTAACTTACACCTTGACAAGCAAGACAGGTCACTATTGCAGTCAAGGTATTAGTATGAAGTTCACTCAGCCGACGATAATTCCACTCAATATATCGACTGAGCTATTCCACTACCACGGATTTGCGTAAGCGTAGTATTTCTACATGTTTTTGCGCTTATCAAAAAAAGAAATCGCTGAGAGATATAGTTGTGAATGACAAGTTATTATAACCAAGGAATAACATATTATATGAATATAATTACTACAAGATTTATCGTCAATAATATTTTCGTAAAGCTATCGGTTCTGTATATTTTATGGTTTTCCAAATTGTCGATTTGAAGAGATTTAGAGGGAGAGGATAATATTGTGACTCACATGTACGTTTTTGTTAAAATCAAAAACTCAATTTATTTTGTAAAAAGGTATCATAAGCCTTAAAAAAAACATTAAGTTGTCAATTTTACTGAACATTATTAGGAGTATGAAATCAATGATGGCAGGCCGTCTAAAATGGCCTTCGAACACTAATGATGTGATCTTATACATGTTATAATTATAAATGATATGGTTAAATGTATGAATGCAAGAATCTAATTTATGTAATGTGTATAATCTACACGCCAAATTCAAAATGACATCCGAAATATAAACTACATTTTCACCCTTGGAATGCATTACCAAACCAAGAGGATTCTGTACTTACAAACAAGACTTGGTGTCTGCCTTAATTAGAGACATGTATTTCATGTAGATTACATAATAAACAATACATCAAACAGATCTTTAAAAAATATTAAATACTTTATTTACTACATCGATACAAAAAACCGACATAGCTTACAAAATGAGAGCAAACATCAGCGAACAGATCAATTTCCGAGCATAGCTAAAGCATGAAACCTACACGAATTGTGGCAATCAGACAAACACGCGTTACTCACATATTAAATCAATCGCTAAAATCATGCCTCTATTGCTGCATCGCACCCCGATCACTTTCGATCGCGGGGTGTCTGATCGGTCTGAATTTGTTGTCAGTAATGAGAATGGATTACTCTATTATCGCATTGTAATTTTCAAATCAATGCGTAAGCGTCAAATGGAGAAGTGCTTTAACAATTTTGAGAGCGCAAACAAAAAGAGTTAAAGATACTGATTTACATATGCTAAACACCCTTGAAGACACAATTCTTGATGGATGTTGGCAAAACTTCGTGTGAGTGGTTTGAATCACCCACAGGAAAACCCTTTTGAAAAGAAAATTGAAAAATATCAAATAGGAGTTGTTGCCCTTAAAACGCGTTCAATTATTATCCCGTAAATACTTTTGAGCAGTACTTCTATACAGGGAGAAATTGGAAGACCAGAAGAAAAATTATCGCCAGGGTGGGGGGGGGGGATGCTGGTAAAGGAGGGGGTAGTCAGTAATTTACTGCTGCCATTTCACATATTTGGTGAAATGTCCGTTCAGCATAGGTTAAGGGTCGAAAGCTTGTCGACTTCGCGTTCAACAAAAGGACATAGACTACAACCAATTTCTGCGTTATTAACATGACCATGAAAATCTTGAGCTAGCCAAATTGAACCACTAGCCTACATTATATCAACATCCGGAGCTTGTCGAATTGAAAGTAGATTACTGCCGGTTATACTCATTCGCTAGAGTTTGGCAGTTCACAAAACGACTGTTTTTAGAATCATCTCACCAAATCATAAAGATAATGCAATTTCAGACATCAATTTCCAAATCTAGACCGAACATTACTCAATAATAGGCATGCAAAAACCCATAAGGGAGAGAGAAAGAAGATTTCAACCGGATAAAAGAATAACACAGGGGTTTAAATGGGCCCGGAACAATTGTTTCCCCAGTGGCCCCAAAGGGGTTAAAATCGGACGATTTGCTTTTAGCTCTGGCTAGCCCATGCCAGCCTATCACAGACCACTTTGGTATTCTTAAAAAAGGTAGAAGAGACGCTGTTAGACTGAGTAAAAAGTGAATTTTTGAAAAATCTTCGACAGAGACTCGAACCCGGGACCCCAACGTTGCCAAGCAAATGCTCAACCCAGTGGGCCACCGAGACCTAGGGTTAGAAAGGCTTGGGTTTTCTGATGAGAGTTCATTTACTGTGCTATTGATATCATCTTCAAAATAGTCCGAACACACGCACTCTATTTTCAAATTTTTACAGATGTTACAAAGTTTATATTGACATTTATTCCCCATATGGCCCATCTGGTTACACCTCCTACATACAACTTTCGGGTACTCAGCAATCATATACGATTCAGAGTACCATTTATTGCATACCTTGGTTTGATTATTATGTAGCACACGAAAATTTATGAGTCCATTGATCGTTTCTAGTTTTACGGCCAAGGGAATGGATTTCAGACCAGGTGGAAAAATACACCTAACGTGTCTCGTGCCATTTTCAATAGTTCTAAATTTATCATGATAGTGGCTTATAAGTTCTCCTTCGATTTCGATATTAAAGAATTTCAGCTTGTCTAAAAGAGCAGTGTCTTCAATATAGGAGGGAATGTCCATAAAGGATACCACTGTGTAGAGAGAATATGGGATTTTACATTCAATTTGACAATCCTTCACTCAGCTTCTCTGCACTAGCTTTATTATTAACTGTTACCTCAAGCATACCAGGCTTTCTCGTAATCACAACAAAAACATTACCGATACCAATTACATCCTCTAATCCATCTATTATCTCTCGCAACTTAATCCTCTCAACATCAACATATTTATCTTGACAACACATTCTTTCAGGTACTTCCTCGAACCCATATTCCAGGGCTAGGGGGACAAAACCCCACACAGGTACAATCGAAATCCAATATAAAGTTCACTATCAATATACTATCCAACAGTCAAAGTGAATAATCCTTAGTGTAGCTCAACACGCTTGAGTGAATTCTAGAGAGAACATGTTACGATGTTTACACGTTGCTGTCCAAACTAAGTATGTACAGCGTCTCTTCTACCATTTTAAGTTTACAAAGTATTGCCAGGCATGTGCGCAACCCACTGGGCCGTCGAGACCTAGGGTTAGAAAGGCTTAACCCTAGTTAACCCTAGTTTTGGAAAATCAATTAGGGTTAGCTCAGGAAAGGCTTGAAGCTCGTTCCAAGCTATGGTTTCGGCATATGAAATGAAAAAGCAATTCGTTGCGCATCTTCTCAACACAAAATGATCCGGATAAAAGAATAACACAGGGGTTTAAATGGACCGTAGGTCCGAGTACTACGTCATTATTAGACGTATTGACAAACTTTCGACCATAAACCAACCAAAATATAGTTCACAAACAAATACATCTACTCAGACACGTGCTATATTACAGGTCACATCAGATCCAAACACATGCCTCACAATACAGGCAGTCTTTTCAAAATGTCCGGTTAGGAAAATAAACAAAATATACCTGTTCGAGTTACATACTATTATTGCCAGATTTATAAATCTGACACAATAAGAATAATATTCTAATTCTAAGAATAAATCTTAGATTAATTATTACAACTAGTGTTCACAAACTATTTGAAGCCAAGTCAATCGTAAACACATTTACAAAATAATTTCACACTTACCTGGCAAAGGACCATGAGTCCAATATTTAGAGTCCATTATTGATGTCAATATTGGACTCATGACCGTTTGTCAGTACCATTATGATGGATAAAGGTACGCCGAGATCAAAGAGTATGGTCACATCTATATTTTAAGAATGGTTAATGATGTACTCACAAAGAAACTTGGTTCGTTAAAGATATTTGTGTGAGGTGATCTACGAATGAATTGAAATTGACGCCATTCACCCCAGACATGCAAAAAATTGTGAAAATTATGATCTCATGTCCATTTATGGTTGGTTGATCGTTGACTAAATTTTTCGATTAAAATACTTTTCATAATGACTAATTTATTTTGGGGAGGAATAGATTGAGAAGAACTCTTACGGGAGGAATGATATCACTGAGGTTGAGAAGCACTGCTTTGGAGGGTACAATTGTAACAAAGGGGTAACATTTAAAATGTATATTTGTTTATAAGTTTATGTTTCAGCACAGCTTTAATGTTTAACAAAAGTACACACTGAACACATAGTCACAAATACTAACAATCAACTCAAATCTGTTCACCCTATTCTATTTTTCTTCTATATCTTATGCATTGATGAGCTTTTGCTCTCCTAACAAATATGATATCAACACCCTGAGCATTCTAACTTTTCCTATCAATTTATTCATTAAGCCTTAAGTTTTCAAAGTGAAAGGACTGTTTCAGTGCTTCTAGATTTCATATGGTTTTGGCGGGAATTTCTATTTCAAAGATTCAGTTTTGCCATTTATATTTCATGGATTGCTTATTGATTATGGATATAGTTAGACATTAGATCAGTCTTTATTAAAGGTATGTTTTATTTTATATATTCTGAATAATCTACTGCTTTTGTAAGGGTCTGTAAGTTAGGTAATGGTTTATGTAAGCAAAGTGTATGGCAGCCATTTTTAATTCTTAAAGTTATTCCATATAGTTCCAGTATACATGTATTTCAGTTCAGTTGTGGTAATTGTTATTATAATAGAAGTATTTTAATTAATTCACAAATAGAGTATAAATATAGTTTTTAATAACGTTATTGGTTCTTTTAGTTTTAAGATATTTCGTCTTACCTGCCAGTTGTGTAGATACTTTAAACCACCAACTTTTTGGTATTTATTTTGTATATTGTTACTTCATATTTAATATTTCATTATTTATATTAAGCAAGTACGATTTAAGTGGTATTAAGAACATAATTTGTATTTTTAAGAATTAGCATTGTTGTAATGTTATTTTAATTATTCTGATTGTTGTATGTAATTATATTTATTGTACTTTCAAGGGTTTTGTTATATTTCGATGTTTAATAAAGTTTATAAAAATCGAATCCAGCGTAGCTTATTACATCATCTACGTCTAACCCTACAACATTGGAGCCCGACAAGGGACAGTAGGAGATACTATTTGATGGCGTCATAATTTATACTGGTGCCACCAACCTGCATCTCCAACTGTTCCTGTTGTCGACGATTTGTGAAAACGCGTGCTGTACAGCAACAATAAACAATTTGTGCACAAACAATGATTTGGTAATATGAATTTTGTGTGTGTGTATAGTTTACAGATAGTATTGCATCCTCTTTATAAGTATTATTAGTCAAAGGTATATTATTATCATATAACATTATTGATTGTAGGCCTACTGTTTTGTTATTTTTCAAGTTGATAATTTATTCACATAAATCTTTTAGATTGTGATTAGTCTAATAATAATTTTTATTTCAGGTTTTGAAATTTATTTCAGTCGTTCTTTTGTTACCTTTGTAAATTTAATTACTGGAAGAGTACTCTCCCTAGTAAATTGTTATCATTGTATGACCTTGGCATTTCTTTATTTCCAGTGTGAATCTTAAACATTGGGTAAATTCTTAATAAATAAATTGCTGTTGTCAGTTGACACGTCTAAATTAACTTCATAGTGTAGATTATTTGGACTTTAACTATTTTTTGAGGGGGTTTTCTGAATTCCATGAATTAAATTGTTTCAATTTAGATCATTATTACTTTATCTAATTATTACTTTATTTAATTATTACTTTGTTTAATTATTACTTTGTGTTAGTATTTGGTTTCTGCTATAGAAGTCTTATGGTGTTAAAGTGGTTATGTCACATAGTAAATGTTTATTGCTGATAAGTTTTGTCATTATACCTTTGCTTGACAGTTGGCATTGGAGACTTTTCTTCAGGTTCATTTCGTATTCTTCTCTCTTCTATCTTTGGGTTTTCTTTATTCTTTGCTCTATCCTGTTGTCAGTATATCCTTTCATTATCAACTCATGAATCCATAATTATACAATATACATTATTTTTCACTGCATACTAATTCTTTACACTTACTTGGTTATTCATGTATGTAATATTGTGTTGTACCTTTAGGAACAAATAATTAATCTTTTGCGGCGTTTGTATACCGTATGTCGATATATATTAACCCGTCTGCGTTCATTTATTCCACGTTTGCGTTGCGTGTTGTATCTCATAGTTGATTGTTTTTACATTCAACCGTCCGGTTACTTGCGTTTTTATTTTTTTAGTGTGGCGGTGTTTGTGATTATTTCATTTCCCTTATTTTTCATACTAGATGGTGACTTTCTTTTAGGTCTGAAACAACGGTGTTACACATAGTGTAACTATTATTTTGTTTTGCAGTTGTCCTGTAATATAGTGAATTTTCAACTTTTGGATTTCAATCCTTGTGTATTCATTAACCAGTATCTTGGATGATAGATCAATATGAGTGACAAGGATGAAAAGCAGGACCAGGCTTCTGCATTTGGAAGCGGGGCAAGACCGAAAACATTTAGTTTATCATCATCAGATGAAGGGAGACTACGAGACGTTTTTAGTAAACTCGAAGTTAAACCAGACATGGACTCCACCAAAGATTTTATAGATTGGATGCACAAGTAACTACAATGTACTGGTAGGAAACCACCCTCAACACCGACAGAGACTGCACCGATTATAAAACCCTCAGTACCCGTGTTTGATGAACGGGAACCTCAAGTCCATGTACCCCTTGACCAACAACACTCTTTATTAACTCAACCACTTTCAATACATCAACACCAAACATGCCAAGGATATCAACATTTTCTGGAGACCCTACTGCAAAAGGAGACACCTCATTTGATCTGTGGAAATTCGAGGTTTTAACTCTGATTCAAGATCGGAGATATAGCCAGGATACCATCAAATTAGCAGTGACCAAATCACTAAAGGGAGAAGTAGCTAGAGTAGCTATGCGTCTTGGGCACAGTGCCTCAGAACTTGATTCAGAAACTGTCAACCAGATTTGGGTTGTTAGAGGAAGGTCAAAGCTTGCTGTCAAAGTTTTACTCTGCAAACCAAGTATCAGAAGAAACAGTATCGCATTGGGCTTGCAGATTAGAGGACTTGTTAGCCAAAGCACAGTTAGTGGGTGGAGTAGATATGGCTTCATTCGATTCTCGTTTGAGAACCAAGTTTTGGAGTGGTCTGAGATCGGAGCTCAAAGACCGTTCAGCTCACAAATTTGATAGGATTGTGAATTTTGACTCTCTATTAGTAGAGGTGCGTAAGATCTTCAACAAAATCAAGATAATAAACCACCATCAAAGAAAATTACGACCAGAGTCCAACTGCAACAACCAAATCTGCCAGACGATGATTTAAGGGCTATGGTTTATAGCTTAACCAAGTCTATGGTTGAGCTTAAATCTGATTTAGCAGAACTGAAGAAGCCTAAATCTGAGTCAGGACCTACCAGTCGACGACCACCACAGTTACCAAATTCGGGATTTCAAGAAAGCCCCATTCCTCCGTGGTACAAATGTGGCCAGGAGGGGTATATTGCGAGAGGGTGACGTATGCCTGTTAGGAAAGACATCAACCGATCCAGACCACCTCATTTAAACTAAAAGATGTCACCGCCAAGGGACAGTCGGATGACATACAACTTATTAGTCCCACTGAACTCATAGGACATTCCATCATTTCTATCATTCAACATTCTGGAAACTACTGCTCAGCACTTCTTGATACAGGATCAACTATTTCAACTATATCCCTTTCATTTTTTAAAGAATATCTTGAAACAGACAACTGTAAAATGTCCCCACTTGGAGAAATAATTCAAATAGAAAGCGCTTCTTGACATAAGTTACCGTATCTAGGATCTGTGTATATCACTCTTACAATTCCCAGTTTCAACAACAACATGGAATTTGAAGGAATTTTTCTGGTCTTTCCTGACATCTGCCATACATCTAATATTCCAGAAGCATGGAACTTAAACTTCCGGTGTATGAAAGTCCAGGAAAACCAACTACTAGGTAAAGTTGGACTTGTGAAGTTTGACGAAGACAAGTCAGTAGTCATACATAGCAACCAATCCATCTATTTACAGGGAAAAATTCACAATCTTGTGTTACCAAGGAAGCAAAGGGTCCTATTTCAGAGCTCTGCGGATTCCAAGTTGTCAAACTATGTGGAAATAACACCAACAATCTTAGAGATTGATCCTGAAGACTTTGACACTTTAGTCATTGTTCGTCTAAGTAACTTGTCCCTATCTAAAGTGAGGATTTTCCCTCGATCTGTGATTTGTGAACTTGTTGCTGTGGACATAGTAAGGGAGCCTTTTATCAACAGTTTGACACCTTCGTCTAATCAAGAAGAACCAAAGGCTTCTAAGACCTTCATGGATGAAATTGATTTCTCCCAGACTGCTTTAGCACCTGAACAACTTACCAACTTAAAGGAATTCATACAAAAATGGTCGTCTGTTTTTTCGCAACATGACAATGACATTGGACACATCACTCTTGTACAGCATAACATCAATCTGACCGATAACGTACCAATTAAACAGCCTCACCGTAGTATTCCACCGTCTCTGTATGATGAGGTCAAGCGTCATCTACAGGACTTGTTAGACGCTGGTATAATCAGGCGCAGCTGCAGTCCATATGCTTCACCTGTGATTTTAGCACGCAAGAAGGATAATTCATTGATTACTGTCAACTCAACCATCAGAGATGCGTACCAATGGTTGAGGAATTGCTAGATCATCTGACAGGGACACAATTTTTCTCAGTTTTGGATATGAAAAGTGGTTATTACCATGAGGTATACGTGAGGAAGACAAACCTAAATCAGCCTTCACGGTCGGACCTTTGGGGTTCTTGGAGTACAACCGTATGCCCTTTGGATTAACCAACGCTCCGGCAACATATGAACGTCTCATGGAGGATTGCTTAGGTGATCTTAATTTGAAGATCTGTACAATATTTATAGAAGACCTTATAATATTTAGTCGAACATATGAAGAACACTTAGAAAGAATGTCCATGGTATTTGATCGTCGTTAAACAACATGGATTGAAGCTGTCACCCAAGAAATGCCATTTCTTCCAGAAAAATGTAAACTATTTAGGACATGTAGTGTCCGCTGAAGGAGTTGAGGCAGATCCCAGCAACACAGATAAGGTACAAAACTGGCCAAGACCAACTATGAATTGAGACGCTTCTCGGGTTTCGTGGGATATTATAGACGATTCCATTAATATCTTTTCAACAGCCAGTTCACAGTGTACACTGATAATAACCCCCCTGACTTATATCCTCATCACCGCAAAGTTAGATGCCACAGGACATCGTTGGCTAGCTGCTTTGTCAGGATACAAATTTTCCATCAAATATCGAGCTGGAAGGAAGAATGTTGACGCTGACTCTCTTAGTTGGTTAGAGCAACCAAGTCAGAGTACCATCTTCACAGAAATTAACCAGGATCAAATCCAAGCCATCAAGAATATAGAGCTGGATACATTCATACAGTCAATATGTCGCAACAGATTGTTCCTGATCACTCACCAATCATGACTTCTTTAGTCAAAGATACAGATTGGCGACAGAAGCAACTGGAAGACCAACTGTTGAATACGGTCATCACTAACATCAGTCATAACCAGAAACCACAGCATCCACCCAATCTTCCAGAAGAAGCTGCACTCAACAGAGAGTATGAAAGTTTCGTTCTTCAATCAGGAACTCTGTATAGGCGTACAGTGAGTGATATGAAGGATGAATTCAGACTTGTTTTACCAACAGCATAAAGGTAACAAGCCATGGAAGGAATCCATGATGCTGTGGGACACCCTGTCAGGGATAGATCCACCAGTTTAGCCAGAGAGCGATTTTATTGGCCTAGGATGATAACTGACATTGAAGAAAACATAATGACTCCATCCACTTGTCCTTTGGTTAGTATCACCTCTACCCATCCTATGGAACTTATATGCATGGATTATGTATGCGTGGAACAGTGCAAAGGTGGTTATGACAATATCCTTGTGATCACAGACCATTTCAACCACACAGACTGTTCCAGTAAGAAATACATCTGCATCGCAATGCGAATTGTAAATATATATCATAAAACGATTTCGACAAATGCTATAATAATCAAAAATTATGAGTCATTATTATTCATGAAATGAGTACTATATCCATCCTATATCGTTTAAGATTAAAATGACGAAACAATAAAGCAAGATTATTATTTACCTGGAACATGTTTAGAATTTTGACCGTACATCTTCATTATTAAACTAACTAATATTTATTGCCTTCGTTCTTGAAAACGCATTCTATTTTTAAAACACGATGAAAGGCACAATTATTGCCGGGTTTATTGTCCCAAAAAGTCCAAAAGAAGTGTTTGAATGAAGGTTGAAATTTTCATACTGTACAATATACTGTTAATTTACTGACAAATATTTTGATTTAAAGTCAAACCTGCCTGCCTTTACGAGTTTGGCAAGCTATCATAACATATCCATGTTGTCCAATATTGATGTCTGTCTGACACCCAACAACATTTGAAATATTTAGGGATTTACATGATAAGGTGTGCATATCGCGGCTCCTGCAAGTATGCAGATATAGTGTGACCACAGGTAATTGAAGTCTCCCATTCTAATTCCTAGAGATAGAAAGGCCTAGTAACACTAATAAAAAAAACTACTGAGTGGCCAGACATTACAAAAATTCAGATACCATTGGTTTGACATTAGTACCAGTATCACACACCCCGAAAATCGGCTGAAAAGAGGTTACGTCGGAGAAGACGTGGTGTGATCGGGTGAGTCGTAGAAGGTGCTACGACTTTTTATATAGGAGCTTAATAATTGTACTACAGGGGTCTATAGACTATAGATGGCGTGGCGCAATCGGATGGATTAAGGAATTATCGGGCTTAGTTATGGTTGTAGGGTAACGACTTTGCTAAAACTGTCAGTAAGTTGCAATTTATATTAGATATATATTAGGCAATTAGAACAGCAATAAAAACGCAAGTATAATTTAAACAAATTTGTTTTATAAAGGCTAATCAGATGGTTCTTCCGGTAAATAAGATGAAGTTTGAAAATTTGAACTTCTGTGATAAGGCTATTATTACTTGGAATTTTCAGCCAGCTGGTGCTTCAGTCAATGAACTATGCTATAATTAATTGTTATTTCATTGAGCTAGTGCTTCAGTTAAAAGTATATTGAGTGTGCCATCACAGCCATCATAAACCAGCCATGGTTAAATTAATACATCTTGAATATTCTGTTGAATAATAACTCCTAATATATATCTGTCGCACGGTTTCCCTTTAATTTCAAACATCTGTAGCTGATACAACCACTTCTCTAATTGAAAGAATTTCGTGTGATCTAGGATTGATGAATATAAATCGGGATGAGAAATCCACGTCTGGTTGGTTACATGATGTTAAGTGGTACTCGTATCTACCCCATGTTTCTTTATCCTTGTAACAAACGACGGAATTATTTAGTGTTTCCTCATTACATTGACCATTATCGTCTAATCTTAATTTGAAACCTCGTAGTCTGTTGACGTGAGCTGAAAAAAAGAAAACAATTATGTATACCTTAATTTCATTGAAGTGTTAACCATCGTTTAAGAGAACTGGAATAAAACTGTATGTTAAATAACAGAACACATTATTATGGAACTGTACTACCTTGTACTATTAACTCTTTTTGGCCCTGTGATGGCAATGTACCATGTTAACACTTTGAATCCCACTATCGCTGATACCATTATGATGCTCAATAACGGTTTCAGCACGTTTTCATCGTTAAATAATATAAAATATTCCATTTTTGTCAAAAAAAAAGAAAAAAAAAAGAAAAGAGGTAAATAATAGAAATGATTATGGATTTTGTAATCGTTATGGAAAATAAGCACTGCTTTATGATGATAATTGATGTAGCACAAAGATACCCATTCATTTCTTAAGTATATACTGTGATGATTCGAATTCGTGTTAAAAATGACGATAGATGTAAATTTGTATATTTTCTCCAGGTCAACACACCACCATTTCAGATAATGATTGTGGGTTTTTAAGTATTTATAGGCAATTTATGTAAGCGGGTCATTACGTTTTATCACATGATGAAGTAGCGTTTATTTCCCATATCGATAACAAGATACAGATTAATTCCAACTACAAACAAACCTACAGCTGTATCCCATATTGTTATAAATGACGATAGATGTAAAGTTGTATATTTTCCCCAGGTCAACACACCACCATTCCAGAGATTTGCCGTTAGAGTGAATTTGACCACTCAAATCACCATCAACAGCTTTGCAACCTTTCTCATTCAGATATACACTGCTCATCAGGGCTGGTTTATTTAAGGCGATGTTGTAAACAAATTTATCTAAAATAAGTCAGAAACCAAAATTTTTTTTAGCTTTGGTGTCTTTCAATTTCAATTTAGATGGATTGTTCTGTATTAGAATATATAGCTATCGTTCTACAAATATATATATATGTATAGGACACTATACCAGAAAACTGATCCTCTATTAGTCTGTGCATTCTAATGACTAAACTATTAGTAAGTCTATTAAAAATAAACCGGGGTCATGTAAATTTTGCGTGCAGTATAAAATGCGTTTTAAATGCGGATGAACATTATTACAACACACAAACAACAAATGGAATTTCCTTAAAGGTAAACAACCAATATGGTAATGTATTTAAAATTAATTAAAGTGATAATAAACTTGATATGGTGGAGACAAACTATGTGTACATGCTCTCAACATTTTTACAATCTAATTAAAATTAAATCAACTTTCTATTATTCTTATTAGCCTTTCTTTACGCAACCACTCCAGTTAGGGTCTCACAACTCTAACTAGAACAATGGAAGGTTTAACTAACTTATACCACATACATTTCGAGAATTAAATACACGCACCTAGCCTAAATAAATAACTAAAATTTATACGAAAACTTATTAATTTGTGTGCATTAACACCGCATTCCATGTCCCGGTAGGCAGTGGCTCAACTACCAAAGGAACTGGTTGAACCAAGGGCCGCCACCTCTTAGGGGGCCCCGCTCTCAGAAAAATATGTAGGAGGGCATTTATATTTTTTAAAATATTCCCGGTGAAGGACCCTACTGATGGTAGGAAATGCACATTTGGCTGATAACTGTACATAAGAACCATAACACGTTTTTAGGTATTAAGCCGCGTTTAGACACCTGCATATTATCCGAACGGATTAAAAGCAGAAAAGCGACAGTGTAAACAGGTTGAGAGGGCTTGGCACCGTGCTGGTATCAAGTGAGACGAGTCGCGCACGAAGGGGTAAGTAACGGCTAAATTGCATTGCAGTGTAAACGCGCCACTGGGCGCATGTGCAATAATGACTTTGACATGTAATGAAATGGAATATATCGTGTTTGAAATAGCGTGCGCCGCCAATATTCAAGAGAACAAAATTTTAATTCGTTGTGTCTCAAAAAATAAATCACTACTACATATCATCGACTTGTGTATGGTTGTCGGCATTTTGTGTGTGCAAAAAAAAAAATGAAATGCAGCCTGTAGAGTTCTGCTGTAAGTCAATGAAAAAAGTTCCTGCTCACCATTATCAGAGAGCATAATGAAATTTTAGCACGTAGAGTGAACATAAGACGAGATGGCACCTCGAAGGTAACACTCAAAGTTAAGCTCGATGAGAAATTACGACAATATGAAGGTATCATCTTTTCTTTACTACAAAATCACAAAACAAAAAAGACAACTGTGATCTTCAAGCGGGCGTACAAAAATGATTTACCTGGAGACATATACGTTACCATACCAATGTCCGTAGTAGAGGTTTTACAAGCTGGAAATGATTCAAATAAAAAACACATCTGTCGATATCCATGATAGGCAACCGCAATGCATACCTCGTCATCAAAACAGGAATAAATACACCGTGTTCGCGATAAAACTACATATTCACGATAAAAATTATAAAATTTTTTATTTACTACGTAATTATTGAACAACTGGTGACATTCAAAAATATTCCAAAAAATGATGGAACCTAGAAATATAGTTAGAATATTATAGTTATATCTCCTTTTCTCAACCTCAAAATATAATAACCCAGTCATGGTTTGTTTCGCGAACTCATCTCCTTGCTATCTAAACGTTATGAAGCTATTCTATGGTTTAAATCTTAGCGTGATTTTAAGTAGGCATGATTAAATATTCCATGAAAGCTGCTTTAAAGGGACATTCCACTTTGTTTTTTCTTTTTTTTTTTCCTCAAATTTGTGAAAACTATAAATCAAAATCTATAGAAATGTTACCAGTCGTTTAATTTTTTAACCTTTAAAGCTCGTTAAGCATTTTCCAAGCTGTTAGGAAACTACCGTATGGATTTGAGTAAAATAAACCTAATTGTAGAGATATATGTCCCCTGCCTTAGATGTCAACTAAATATAACGTTATAAGGTCATTATAAATCCGATCACGAAAACTATGTCAAACTGCTTAACTAACAATAATTAGTATTCTCATTTTTTACTTTAAACAAATTCAGTTGGATCAAATAGATACATATATATATAAATAGCATACTTTAAAAATATGTTCAGGTATAATTTACAACGCTTTTGATATTAAAAATGTTTTACAAAAAAGAGGAATAGAACTTTAAACAGTTTAACGAGATGAATAATACATTAAGTAGGCTTACCACGGGTAACTTTCTTCTTTCATTCTTCTTCAACCTTTTGTAATCACACAAAGGCACTTAGAAAGTTGAAAGAGGTTGCCGTCTAAACATGTTCTGCAACCTCCAAAATTTCAACCTGCATCAAAATAGGTTTCAGAAGCTAAATTTTGTTTATGTTACCTAAGGTTGCTACTGGATGTAACAAGTTTGTGTCTGATGACCCTGATCTCATGTTGAGAGTAGGCTAAATATGTTGGAAGAAAAGTTAAAAAATGATTTTCAACCTACAAATTTGTCAAGACAATGGCCCGTATGCACCATATAAAATCAAATTAAGAAGAATAGAATTATTTTAAACCTTAAATAGATTTAGTTAGATGTATTTAAAGATAATTCTAGTTTTTGTATGCACCAACTAACATCGTCTCGACCAACTTTAAGTTTAGCATTGAATTAGCCAATTTTTAAATACATTTAAGGTAATTCTATGTGGTGCATACAAAATATAGAATTAAATTAAAAGTTAATGTTATTCGGGCAGAATATAATCAAATTAGGCTTAATTAAAATAAGCAAAAAGGGTCATTTTAATTTTGTGAGTCTTCAAGTGCACTTCTTAGTATTGATCGCAACAAACATCGCAGTTTCATATCGATTCCTGGTCGTTACATGATCGGGTTTTGTTTATAGTCTTGTTATTTTCAGTCAGCCAGTGCTTCAGTTAGAAGAACATAATTACATTTATATCCCATTGGAAGCAAATTGAAGCTCCTTAAAACAACACAATTCTAAACTATGCAATACACCTGGTAGTTGGAAATAAGCTTTATCGATTGATTAAGAATATTTATACACATAATAATTGATTTCCAGCACACATCGTGGTTTATTCACACAAGATATTAATCATACAGTAATACAGTGCAAATTTGTAATTTGCAACCATCATAAACCCATTGAGTTCTTTCAATGACAATATAAATTTTATTGCTAAATCAGTAGAATTTCACATTTTCAGATAAAGATGGTAGGCTAAATTCTACGGAAGCGTATTAGGGCCATTCATTTTTTTTTTTTTTTTTTTTTGAATTTCAAGTTAGTATGTTGAATATTCAAGTTACTAAATTCAAGATACTAACTTGAAAATTCAAGATACTAACTTGAAAATTCAAGATACTTACTTGAAAATTCAAGATACTAACTTGAAAATTCAAGATACTAACTTGAAAATTCAAGTTACTAACTTGAAAATTCAAGGTTACTAACTTGAAAATTCAACATACTAACTTGAAAATTCAACATACTAACTTGAAAATTCAAGTTACTAAATTCAACATACTAACTTGAAAATTCAACATACTAGCTTGAAAATTCAACATACTAACTTCAAGTAACTAACTTGAAAATTCTAGTTACTAACTTGAAAATTCGAGTTACTAACTTGAAAATTCGAGTTACTAACTTGAAAATTCAAAACAAAAAAAGTGAATGGCCCTAATATGCTTCCGTAAAATTCAGACCTGTAAATAGAAACTCAAAAATTCTATTCACAATTCCATTTTTCTAAATTTGGTCATGTAGAGGCTTCGTCTCTTTTTCTGAAAGGCATGAAAATAACATTTTATTGGGATTTTTGCGATATTCACAGGTCCGAAGGTGTGTGGTTGGCTTTCTGTCAATTCCATTAAAAAATCTGCCCCACCCCTATTACGTTGGACTGTGATAAAATTGACCATGTAGGGGCTTCGTCTTTGACTTGCCAATAACACAGTTAGGCATGACATGACAGGTCACCATGTGATTAAGTTTCATTCCATTCCATCAAACAAATATAACCCACCGCCATTACTGTTGACGGAAAAAATAGCTATGTAGGGATTTCGTCTTTGACTGACCAGATCTTAGAAACTATAGGAATAAAAAGTATTTCTCTTTATTTTACCCTTAAATTTGTTAGATTGTCATCTAAGAACCTCACTGGCATCAAAAAATACCATTTTATTAGTTTTGCGATATTAACAGGATTTCTTTCAATTCCATGAAAAATTCTGTTCTACCCTCACTAATGAGGACTGTAAATATATTGGCCGTGTAGAAACTTCGTCTTTGAATAGCCAGGATTACAGTTATTCATAAAAATGTCATTATATTGATTTTTTTTTTAGATATTTACAGACAGCACCAGCGTTATCTCAAAATGTGACATTTAAGTGAAATAATGAACTTGGAGAGATAGAAAATTTGTCATATTATTGTAACTCGTAATTCAAATCGGCCACATAATTTGGCCAAAACATTAGGGATGAAACCTTTTTATTCATGTTTTGGGTTCGGAAATTTTCACAAATCTTTTATTTATTAGTCAGTTATTTCAGTAAGAGGTCAACTCAACCCACTAATTTGTATGTAAGAATTTGCACATGTACATTTACAAAACAATCTCATAATTACCCATACGTTCAAACTTTTACAATTTGAGAAATGTATTTTCTTGCAGTTACAATTTTACACATGTACTTTCACAAATCGACATATGCATTTATCATTTTGCAATGAATTTAAATTGTCAGTGAAACAGCTCCGTAATTACATGAATACATCTTGAATATTCTGTTGAATAATAAATCGTAAGATATATCGGTCGCACGGTTCCGTATTATTTCAAACATCTGAAAGCTGATAAATAATTTCTTCTAACCAAGGACTAATGAATACTAACCGTGAAAAGATATCAACGCTGGTTACATGATGTTATGATATTGTACACTACGTATAAAAATCTTAAGCTGATACAACCACTTCTCTAATTGAAAGCATTTGGCCTGACCTTGGACTGATAAATATAAATCGTGAAGAGAACTCCACGTCTGGTTGCATGGTAACATGATGTTAAGTGGTACTCGTATCTACCCCATGTTTCATTATCCTTGTAACAAACGACGGAATCATGAAATGTTTCTACATTACATTGACCATTATCGTTTAATCTTAATTGGAAGCCTGTTAATCTGTTGACAATCGCTGAAAAAAAGAAAACAATTATGTATACCTTTACATGCAGCAATTTCATTGGCAAAATAGGACAGCAATTCTAAAGTAAACTAATATTTTTTTGGCTCGATGATGTCATGTTTAAACTTTGTATCCATCACTGACACTAATATGATAGTCGTTTATGGGATGGAGGAGTGGGGCCCATTGGTTGACAGGTATCAATGATTATGCCATGTCCACGATTATTTAATGTAAAATATTCCATTTTATCCTACAAATGGATTGATGTAAATGAAAGGGATGACTGTGGGTTTTTTTTAAGTATGTATAGGAAAGTTATGTAAGCGGGTCATTACGTCTTATTGTCTAATCTTAATTTCAAACCTCGTAGTCTGTTGACGTGAGCTGAAAAAAAGAAAACAATTATGTATACCTTAATTTCATTGAAGTGTTAACCATCGTTTAAGAGAACTGGAATAAAACTGTATGTTAAATAACAGAACACATTATTATGGAACTGTACTACCTTGTACTATTAACTCTTTTTGGCCCTGTGATGGCAATGTACCATGTTAACACTTTGAATCCCACTATCGCTGATACCATTATGATGCTCAATAACGGTTTCAGCACGTTTTCATCGTTAAATAATATAAAATATTCCATTTTTGTCAAAAAAAAAGAAAAAAAAAAGAAAAGAGGTAAATAATAGAAATGATTATGGATTTTGTAATCGTTATGGAAAATAAGCACTGCTTTATGATGATAATTGATGTAGCACAAAGATACCCATTCATTTCTTAAGTATATACTGTGATGATTCGAATTCGTGTTAAAAATGACGATAGATGTAAATTTGTATATTTTCTCCAGGTCAACACACCACCATTTCAGATAATGATTGTGGGTTTTTAAGTATTTATAGGCAATTTATGTAAGCGGGTCATTACGTTTTATCACATGATGAAGTAGCGTTTATTTCCCATATCGATAACAAGATACAGATTAATTCCAACTACAAACAAACCTACTGTTGTATCCCATATTGTTATAAATGACGATAGATGTGAAGTTGTATATTTTCCCCAGGTCAACACACCACCATTCCAGAGAATTTCTGTTAGTGTGAATTTGTCTTCCACTCAAATCACCATCAACAGCTTTGCAACCTTTCTCATTCAGATATACACTGCTCATCAGGGCTGGTTTATTTAAGGCGATGTTGTAAACAAATTTATCTGAAAAAGTCACAAACCCTTCTTTTTCAGTGTCCTTCAATTTCAATTTGAATCGATTGTTCTATATTAGGACATAGTTTTTTTAATGGTCGCTATACAAGAAATCTGAAAACGTAAATTTTAATAACTAAACTAATAGTAATTTTATCAAAAATAAATTTTTCGTGCAGTATTAGGTTACGTTTGAAGCGGTAATAATAAAGTCGATATTGTGGAAGTTAATCTAGACAAACAAGATGTGTACGTGTTCTCAACTTTTTTACAGTCTTATTTAAAGTAGATCAAACCTTCGTTCCGTATCTATATTTTTACGCAGCCACTTCAGTTAAGGTCTCACAACGCTCAATGGAAGGTGTTACTAACTTATACCACATAAATTTCGAGAATTAAATATATCTGTAGATTTGGTTTTATTTCTTTAATCTTCATGCCACAAACATAAAATATTGGCCCGGAAAGTCATAATCATTCAATTTGTTAATTCTATAAGAGTATACACATTCTTTTAGATCATTCGCAGTGAGCATAATAAAGCAGTTCTGTAAATTATTATGTTGGGATATATAGAGAACCAATGTTACTTCAGTAAGGTATAAAACGTTATCTCTTTGACCTCAAAGCCTCCAGAGTTAGTGCGACATTACAAATTCAGCTTAGCTCTGCTGTAAGTCAAAGAAATGGTTTCTGATCACCATCAGTGCCCATGCAAAAAAAAATTAATCCTTAGAGTGAACACAAGACGAGATGGTTCCTCGAAGGTAACTCTTTCGGGTTAAGTGTTATCCTGCTTATTGGTCAAACTTGTTCCGTCAATAAAGAGACATCATGCTTGCCTTAGCTTAAACATACTAACTAATCTTAAAAAACAAACCCACGCCTAAACTCGATGAGAAATTAAGACAATTTGAAGGCATCATATTGAGTGAGTGCTATGAACGCCCGAACTTCAAGTTGATGTATAAAAATGATTGTTAAATTTACCTGGAGACATATACGTTAC